GCCCAGGTGGTAGAGCAGGCAAACACCAACACCTGGACCTCCCAGGGCCTCAGTGAGGGCGGGGGAAACCAGCTCAGAAAACCACCATGTGCCGTGGCACTACCACAAAGGAATCTTCCAGTGCATTAGCAGAAACGAAGGAAGCAGCATTGCAAGTGACCCCAGGCAGATAAACAACCTGCAGCACCCATCTAAAAGGAGCTGAAGAAAGCTAAAGGAAAGGAAAAACAGGCAACCTAGAATTGCCTGAAAGTTCCAGCCTTGCTGATTCCAGCCCAACATGAGGTAAGCTGCCAGAATCCTACAGCCTCCAATTGCCAACATAAGAGCCCCAGCACACAAAGCCAGTGACCAAGACCTAGGCTCCTAACACAAGAAGCTTGGGTCAGTGCCCTCTGTTCCCCAGCAGGAGGGTTCAATCTCTTTAAAGGCCAGGGAATAAAGAAACCATGAGTAAAAATAAATGTACCATAGATTCATATCATGAGAAGAGTGGAGATCAAGACAGAAATTCTGAAGAGAACAATACTGTCAACAAACCCACATCTGCAACATCAAAAGGGAATATGAACTGGTCTGAAGCCCTTGAAGCTCTTCTTAGAAGAGCTCAAGAAGGATTTTAAAAGTCTAATGAGAGAGGTAGAAGAGTCCTTAAAAAATACAATTGGCCAACTGGAAAAAAAGTACACTGAAGAAAACAAGTCGCTAAAAAACACAATTGGCAAACTGGAAAAAAAAGTACACTGAAGAAAACAAATCCCTTAAAAATACAATTGGACAACTGGAGAATGAAATACAAAAACTAAAAGAAGAAAATAATCTGTTGAAAACTAGAACTGGACAAATGGAAACTAATGACTCTATGAGAGAGCAAGAATCAGTCAAACAGAAACAAAAAAATGAAAAAATAGATGAAAACATAAAATACCTCATTGGTAAAACAACCGACCAGGAAAATAGATCCAGGAGAAACAATTTAAAAATTATTGGACTACCTGAAAATCACGATGAAAAAGAAGAGACTTGAGAGTATCTTTCAGGAAATCATAAAGGAAAACTGCCCTGAAGTGAAACAACCATAGAAAGAATACACTGTTTACCACCTGAAAGAGATCCCAAATTGACAATGCCAAGGAATATAATAGCAAAATTCCAAAATTACCAGATGAAAGAGAAGGTGCTGCAAGCAGCCAGAAAGAAACAATTTAAATATCATGGAACCACAGTCAGGATTACACAGGACCTTGCAGCTTCTACATTAAAAGACCACAAGGTGTGTAACATGATATTCCATAAGGCAAAGGAGCTTGGATTGAAGATAAGGATCAACTACCCTGCAGAAATGAGCATGATTTTTCAAGGGAGGAGATAGATATTCAATGAAATAGGGGACTTCCAAACCTTCCTGATAAAAAGACCAGAGCTCAACGAAAAATTTGGTCTTCAAGTACAAGATTCAAGAAAGACATACAAAGGTAAATGGGACAGAAAGATACAATATGTTGTTAATAAGGGTGGACTTTTTACATCCCTACAAGGGAAGATGACACTTGCAACTCTTGAGAACTGTATTGTTATTACACCATGCTAAAGGAGTATACATAAAGGGGGTGGATATTAGTTGACTTTGCTGTAATGATAAAAAAAAATCTAATCAAATGGGTTAAATGGATCCAAGTTAAGTGGATTAGTCTGATCTTAGAAAATGTATTGTGAAAGGAGGAGGCAGACAAGTGTAAATTACATTACAGGAAAAGACAGAAAATCTTACTACAGTAGAGGGAAAGAAGGGAGGGGAGTGAGCATTGTTTGAACCTTGCTCTCATCAGATTTGGCTCAGGAAGGGAATAACATAGTCAATTAGGTATAGAAATCTAACTTGCCCTATAGGCAGTAGGAGGGAAAAGGGGAAAGAACAGGGAGGGGGGATAGAAGGGAGGGAAGAAGCAGTAAGGGTAAAGGGGAAGGAAAGGGATAATAAAAGGGAGGAGAGACTGAAAGAGGCAGTAGTCAACAGCAAAACACTAGTGAGGGGGGGAAAGGAGAAAGGAGAAAGTAAAGCATAAACCAGGGAAAAAGGATGGAGAAAAAGACACAGTAAATAACTGTGAATGTGAATGGGATGTACTATCTTTTTTTTTTCTCTTCTAGAGTTGAGTTTTGTTTCCTCTTTCTGATGGTTCCTCCTACTGGTTTTAATTTTTACTTACAACTTCACTAATGTGAAAATATGTTTAATAGGAATGTAAATGTATAGCCTATATCAGATTGTGGGCCATCTTGGGGAGGGTGGTGGGGAGGAAGGGGGAGAAAAATTTTAAACTCAAAAGCATATGGAAGTGATTGTTGATAAATCAAAATAAATTAATAAAAAAAAGAAATAGATACCCCTTCAAAATGGGATAATCTATAATTCTGCCAATGATATGTACTAAGAAAACAAATGCTAAGTAACATATGAGCAAATTCCTAAAACTCTTTCAACATAATATGGTCATTCCTGTTCATGTGAGCAACAAGACAGCGGACTAGACATTTTCTCCAATCCCTACAACCTCTCAAGTCTCTCCAAAATAGAAATTATGTGCAAAAGATAAAGCAATTTTAGTTCCATGGCCTAGGATAGGCAGAATCCAAAAGAAGATATAAAAAACCAAACAAACAAAACAACAACAACAAAACACCAAACCCTCAAAAACCCAGGAATTGTCGCTCATTGACCCTGGAACTCACTAAGCATCCCTCCTCAACCTCCCCACTACTAGAAGCCCTAAGAACATGGCAAGGCTTACATCAAAATCACCCCTATTCCCCAGTCTTCCCCCCTCTCCTCCCTTTCCCTCTTTCCAGTGTATGGAGAACCCAGCTCCAGAAGTCTGTTCCAGGCTCCACATCCAGCATGGCCACAGCTCTTTAAAAGCAGGAGCCTGCTGGTACCACTCCAAAGAACTGAAGAACAAAGGGAAGAAGATAAGCCCCTAGGGTCAAGATACCATGTGTGTGAGGGGAGTGCAGCACTCAATCAAACCAAAGAGAAAAAAACAACACCCAGCTGAAGACAGTTCTGATCATCCAAAAGCTGGTTGGGGCAAAGACCTAGGCTGGTGAACTGTGAATTTTCTAGTTTGGGAGGCTCTGAGACCTAGCCCCAAAAGAAACTACAGAGGGGAGGGAGTCAGGAAATGAGGGATGAGGAAAATGAAGAGAGAAAAAAGACTAAAATTAGCAGATTTCAGGAAGAAGGAAACTCAAAAGACCTCAAACCATACATATATTAATCAACAGGAAAAACAGTAACAGAAGGAAATACTGCCTCCAGATCCAGTAAATGAGTTCAAGTAAGAGATAGGAAAACGATCCAACACTGAATGAAACAGAGGATCCTATGGAATTTGAGATCATGGAACCACATGTTGTCCCTGAATGGTTCAAAAAAGAAATGAAAATTATGAGAGCAGAATTTATGGCCTGCACAGCAAAAACGAGCAGAATATAAAAATATGAATCTGCAACAGCAAGCCTCACAAAGAAACAATGGAGAACAATAGATCAGGAATGCAAATACATAAAGTGAAGGACAACCTAGAAGAGAAGAAAAAACCAATAACCTTAAAATATACTCATTACATGCAAGCAAAACATACTGAACTCAATGAAGACAGGATGCAGAGAAATAACCTATGGAACATAGGTCTCCCCAAAGAACACAACACTTACACCATAATGAAGGAAATAACAGAACTGCCCAGAACTTCTGAATACAGAAAATGAAATTCTAATGGAAAGAATTCACAGATAGCTGTTAATACAATATGATCTTTATAATCTAGGTATTACTGCTTTAAACACCTGCTACTCATCTTACTTTTATCTCCAGAACATATTTAGTATCCAGCCCTTTCAATTCACAGCTCTTAGTTCAGGTTCTGATCACCTCCCAACTAGATTTTTTAATAGCCTTCTAATTGGTCGCTCTGCCTCAATTATCTCCTCCACCTAAATCTACACACTACAAAGCTGCCAAAATCATTTTCCTCAAGAGCAGGTCTAACTATGTCACTACCATATTCAATAAACTGCTGTGAATCTCCATTACCTCTAGGATCTAACACAGGACTTCATAATCTTTCTCCAATCTATGTTTCTAGTCTTACTACATAATACTCATATACTCTTTCTTACTGTTCTCCTACCTGTCACACCATCTCCTATCTTTAAGCTTTTGTACTGACTCCCATACCCTGAATGCTCTCTATCCTCAATTTGGCCTCTCAAAATCCCTAGCTACACGACTCACCTCAAGCATCAGCATTTATATGAAGCCGTTCCTGATCAACAAGTTGCTACAGACTTCCCACTCTCCCAAAAAATTAGTGTACTTTTTTTATACCTATAAATGTCTCTGTGAAAGAATGTAAGCTGCTTCAGGAAAATGGCTAGTTCATTTTTGTCTTTGTATTCCCAGTAATTAAGCACAGTTCCTTGAAAAGTAGGCTTGTAAGAAATGCTTTCTGAGTAATTTGTCCAGCACTAAACCTGAAAAAAGGCCTCCTGTCATTTCTCTTACTTTCCCGAATATCTGTTTTTACTCCAACTAACCACCACCCCAAGGAAAAACAAAACCTGTTATCTTCTAAAAGGGAATCAGTAATATTCTAGGGAACAAAGAATCATTCTCTTCTACAAAACTGTTTGAGATAGCCAGGTGCCTAATTAATCTTGCTTTTAAAAAAGAATCCCATATGTCAACTTATATATTAAATCACTCTATATTCACTTTGTATTATATTTGGTGAAACAACATTTAAATCTCCAACTCCAAAAGGGGGCTAAATGTTTCTGACAATCAGGACAAGACTAACAGATTTCCTTAAAACACTGATAAATAGAAAGAGACCCAGAGAATGCAAAAAGCCAAATGTCCTTTAATGAGATCCCTCAGAAAAATACAATGCTATTAAAACTTCTTTTCACATTTTCTTCTGTTTTTCAGGTCTTACCTCTAATGCGGCCACGCTTGCCACGATCTGAAGGCCTGTCCCCTGGATTGCAGTCAACTCCGTTCTCTTCACCTCTAACTAAGGAAGAAGAATAACAAAGAATTCTACTTTCTTTGTCATGTCATCTCATATATGACCTTACTGTAAGGATCCTGAAACACTTAAAGAGGACAGAGAATCTACAAGAAGTTTAGTGTAGACAAAAGATTCTGTTACTAAAAAAATAAAAATAAAAAAACCCAACAACCAAAAAACCCAAATCCCAGAATATCAAAAGCTAAACATTCCTGCTTCCTTACCAAATCAGGTTTCAGGAATGAGAAAAAAGTGTCATAAATTAATCATTTTGATCCATTAATTTTTGGCTCTTGTCCAATCCAAAGTCCCTTCCTTTTCCTGTGAAATGAATGTGTTCTTTGGTAACTGTCCAACATAAAAAAATTTGTCCAACATAACAAATAACAACATAACAAATCATCACTATGTGTAATTATTTAATATAATGCAGCCAGATGAAGCTGGGGCAGCATGAAAGTTAAAGACTATCAAAGTTGTGCCAAATAAGAGTCTTCGATTCATGGTTCTAGTAGAAATTTCATCCTTGGAAAAAAATAATAACATATGAGAGAAATGAGCCTTCTGAGGAAACTGATGAATTCTGAGCAAAAGAAAAATTATCTCCCAAATACCATTCCTAGTTTCATAACATTCACTACTGGATGAGATAAAGACCCTAGAATAACAAAGTTGAGTCTTAACATTGCATTTAATTATGCTTTATGCATGTGCACGTGTACACACACACACACACACAGAGCGACCTATCTGTGTAACTGTGACCAAACTTAGGTAATTTCTTTATTAAAGTGTAATAAAATATGCTGATATGTAAAAAAAAAATTCCAATATAATAATATTCAGTCCAAGAGAAAACGAGAAAAGAATAAATCTACCTCCATAATGAGAAAATTTATCCCTCAAAATATTTCGGAACAAAAATGAGCACAGTTCTCAGAAACATACATAAAAGCCAAAAGGATAAGGCAAAAATGATGCTAGCCACAAGTTGGTGGATCAGTATTGATATTATATTTAAACAGACCACCTATTTCAGCTCCAAAAAAACTGGGAATGCTATTGGGAGACAAGGGGGGTAGAGGGAGATTTGCACTTACAATCTCTACCACGACTGCCACCTCTTCCCCGCCGGTTGTTGCTTCCACGTACACGACCTGTCTCTTTATCGTTTCTTTTTTCTCTATTCTCTTTGTTTTCTGAGCTCTCTTTTCCAATACTCTTCTTTTTACCACCTACAGTCTCCCATGAAGTCTAGTTGCAGAAAAGAAAACAGTTAAATGTTCAAAACTAAACCAAAGAGCATTAAAAATATCTTCCAAACTTATCTTTCCCCCATAATTGTAACAATAATAGTAAGCATTCAAAGCTTTCGGTTGAATAACCAACATAAAAATTCATCTATTTTAAAATTTCTGATACCTTGAATATTCTTTTTCTAACCAAGAGTTTCTTTTCTATATTGATATTAGCTAAGAAGTGGGTCACTGCCCAAATTTCGATAAAACTCTAATACCATGAGGCAATAAGATACAGAACAAATAAATGACCAGGTCCTACCACTTCAACTTTTCACTGTTTAACCCTTACACAAGTCAATTAAGTTAAGCAATATTAGCCTCAAATTAATTACTCATCTGAAAAATGCAGATAATACCTGCCCTGCTTAACATCTGAAATATAGTATATCATATTCATACAGCATTACATAAATGTAAACTTACCATTATGCTACAAGACACCACTGACAAAAAAAATAACAGATAAGAAAAGGAAAAGTAATGGAGAAAACAGAAAGAGAGGAAACAAAATTGCCTTTTGAAGATGATAAGAAAGTATACTTAGAGAAGCCTATACAGTCAACTGAAAATAAATTAGAAAAATTAATAACTTTATCAAAGTAGAAGGATTAAAAAAAACCACATAAAGTAGCCAGAATTTCTACATATTACCAATAAAACCCAGCAAGAAGAAATAGAGAAGTGTTATTTAGAATAACTACAGAATGTATAAAATACTTGGGAGTCTATGCTCCAAAGATACACATACAATCTTTATGGTAATAAACAAAAAAAAAATTACAGAACTATTCATTGCTCATGGCAGGCTAGAGCAAATATAATAAAAATGACAATACTATCTAAATTGGTTTACTTATTTAGGGCCACAGCAATAAAAATACCAAAGGATTACTTTATATAACTAAAAAAAAGGTAACAAAATTCATCTAGAGGAACAAAAAAGTCACAAATCTCAAGGGAAATAATGAAAAAAAGTAGAACGGAAGGGGAATAGTAACACTCATCTCAAACTATACTAATCTCAAAATAATCTGGTGCTGGCTTAAAAAGAGAGTGATCAGTAGAAAAAGTACACATATATAAAAGTAAATCCAGAAGTCTATTAATAAACTCAGACTCCAGATATTGGGATAAGAAATCACTACCTGACAAAAAGTTTTGAGAAAATGAATGGCAATCTCTGAGAAATTTACATCCACATCTCACATTACATACCAAGACAGGATCCAAACAGGTCATGTCATAAAGGATAACAGTTTATTACCAAACAAGAAAGAGCAATACGTAAGGCAAAATGGACAATTTTGATGATGTAAAATAAAAAGGTTCTGTACAAACCTAAGATTAAAAAACCATAGCTAAGATCAGAAGGGAAACTGTTAAGGGAGGGTAAAGGATCTTTGCAGCTTATTTCTCTGTTAAATGTCTCAGTTTTAAGATGCAGAACCAACTGATTCAAATTTAGAAGAATAAGAACCATTCCCCACATGATAAATGATCAAAGGATTTGAACAGGCAGTTGTGAAGGGAAGAAATCCAGGCAATCTATCAATAGCAATATGAAAAAATGATTGAAACCACTAATAACCAACAAAATTAAAGTAGTTCTGAGTTTCCACCTTAAATACATTAGCTAGGAAAGCTGACATTTGGAAGGGGCTCCAAGAAAACAGGCATATTAGTGTTCCATTGGTGGATCTGTGAATTGCTCTAGTCATTCTGGAAAACAAGTTGGAATCATGCATACTTGTGCACTAGTGAGTAATATGACAACTAGGCCTACACCTCAAAGAGACCAAAGCAAGAGGAAAAAGTCCTCTATGCACAAAAATATTTATATATTTTAATTATAAAATTAAATAAGGTAGCTGAGAACTGGAAACGAAAGTCCTGGACATCAACTGGAGAATGTCTAGACAATTACGGTATATGAATGCAATGTTATACTATTATGCTATAAGAAATAATGAAAGGAAAGGGACAGTTTCAGAAAAACCTGTCAAGACTTGCACGAACTGATGCAGAATGAAGTAAACAGAAGTAGGAGAGCAATTTATACTATAACAGTAATAAAAATAAAAACTCTTTAAGAGATTTATAACACTGATCAATGTAATAATTAGGAATATTACCCACTTCCTGGCAGAGGTGTAATGATATATGTAAAATGAATGCTTATAATTTATAAAATGTTCTACAAGCACTGTTTTGCTTTTTTTAAAACAGCTTTTAACTGTGAATTTGTTTTGTACTTCAAACAAGTTCTGGAAAGAATTTGGTCCCCAGTATGTAATAAATTTATAAATCTGTGTGTAGCTGGTTTCTAAATGGTACTTTGCCTCAAAGTCAGGAAAGAGAATTTAGAGGTTAGTACAACAGCTATCTTCAAGTACTTAAGGGCTACTATTTAGAATACAGATTAGAAGTTTTTGTTGGACCCAGAAGGCAGAATTAAGAATAATCAGAAGGAGCCAGATTTAGGTTCTATGTAAAGAAAAGCTTCCTAAGAATTAGAGCTATTTAACTGCGTACTGGGCTTCCTCAGTGAAGTTAGGGGGAAGAAAGGAAACATGAATATATTACTGTATTACGGGATCCCCATTTTACACAGAGTAGATGGAAACTAAGTGACTTGTCTAGGATCATGCAGCTATTTAGCCGTCTATCTGAGTCAGTATTAGAAATCATTTTATTTGAAATGAAAGAGATACACTAAGAGAAACTCCCCCACCTAAACTAAAGCCATTTGATTTTCCACACACTCAATATTGTATTCACCTACAAATATGTATTCACATTCGTATTTGTACCTTTCTGCCTTTTGAAAGTGACATATAATAGAATATATCTGACATAAGCCCTATTTTCAACTGTCCAAGGGGTGATTCAATTACATTCAATTACACATTAGAATCTGCTTTCTAGATGTACAGTTTGTTATTTTTTCTACACCTTCAGTTCTGATTCAACTAGAAAAAAAAAAGGAATTAAAATTCAACCATAACCTTATTCATAATGTATAATCATATAATTAACACCGAAATGAATTTCTGGTCCCTCAAATGTTCCCCATAACTATCAGAAAAAAGGCAAAAACAAAATGGAAGTTAACAATATAGACAGTCTGGAGAAAAAAAATTTACAAAATTAGGACTCCTCAATATCACAAAAGATATTACTTTGAAACGCTTCATTTGTTGTAGTGAAAAATAAGGAGAAACTCGAGAGAAAAGGTACAATTTGTTTGGAAAAAAACCCTTATCTCAACAATTGAAGCAGATTTATAGTAATCCAGAAGTTATCTTAAAAAACAAAAAACAAAACAAATTTTTTTTTCTTTTGGCTAGCTCTCAATATCACAAAAGATATTACTTTGAAACGCTTCATTTGTTGTAGTGAAAAATAAGGAGAAACTTGAGAGAAAAGGTATAATTTGTTTGGAAAAAAAACCTTATCTCAACAATTGAAGCAGATTTACAGTAATCCAGAAGTTATCTTAAAAAACAAAAAACAAAACAATTTTTTTTTCTTTTGGCTAGCTAATGGGGTTAAGTGACTTGCCCAGGGTCACACAGCTAGTATGTGTTATATGTCTGAGGCCGGATTTGAACTCAGGTCCTCCTGAAACCAGGGCTGGTGCTCTATCCACTGCACCATCTAGCTGCCCCCAAAACAAAATTTTAAAACCCAGGAAATATGAGACAATTAAAGCCAATGAAGCCTACTTACCAAATTCTACTGTGCTTGTACTTAAAATGATAAAATTTCACTACCAAAAAAATCAACTACAAATACCCCATAAGTATTTTACAAACTAATACCTACCGTGTCTGAATTCCCTTCTAGCAATATGTTGATGGCCCTATTCACATCGCCATTGCAATCATGTAGGGCTACTATGGATTCATCCTGGTTTTTCCCTGTTACTTCCATAAGCTATGGAAGAAGCACAAATTAGTTAATAAACAATAATGTTTCAACAAAATATTTTCAAGAGCTTAAATAATTCTCAATTTTTAGGTTCATCTGTGTACTTCATGACAATTGATCATAAAGTGATTATTTTAAATTGAACTTTAAGTCTACATGTACCCTTTATCCTCCCACAGCTAAACTTGGGTCACCTATTATGTGAAAACGTAGCCTTCCAAGATTTCAATTAGAACAAGTATACCTTTTTATTTCGTTTCCAATGAGCCCCCTTGCTCCTAGCTTTAAGTCCTCCAAAGACAGACCAGTTCGCCAACCAAATTTGATAATATCATCTCCCCAACCTGTGTTAACACCCCTAAGCTAGGGTCCATTAGTTGGTGCATTACTTTTTTTTTTTATCTCATTAAGCTACTACTCCAACTTCCCCATTAGTAAATTTAAAAAAGAAAAATAAAGTCCTCAATTCGTAGTTTCATGCTTCAGAAAAACAAATTCCCACATTAGCAAGTTGCATTACTTTTCAAAGGTTAGTAAAAGCTTGAGTTGCATGGAATTCATCAATTAAAAAATAAAAGGGGTGTAAGATTACATATTAAGGAATCATTATGTCATGGCTTTCTGAGTCTCATTCCATACCCTGGTACTGCTCCTATAACCTTGCCTTTTTAGAACACACTAGCCAACCTGTTATATACGAACAATTTTTCCAAAAGCTGTAATCTACTTCCGTGAGGTTTTACAAAGGGATTTCTTTTGCAGGGATATCAGTGACAAAATCTTTGTGACCCCTTCTCAACTCAATTTCATTATTTTTAGCTGACCATGTCCTTCATTACTTTGTACCCCCAAAATTAACTGCTTGACAAGGGGATATTAAAAGCTACAACTTGTGTGTCAGTATATTCTTTTCAGTACCCTCAAAATGATGTGTTCAACTGAAAAGGTAAAATTTTGATCAATGTACTAACATTCCAATAGGAGGTAAAAAAGTACCAGACTGTCTTCTTTCTGTCATCTGCTCCTCAAGCAGGAATATTTCTTTAATCCTCCTCTTTTGTCCCAAATAGCCAAAGTATTCTGTGGCCCTTACCACTCCCTAATAATATATATTGCTAATAAATATTAAAACAAGATATGACTCAATGTGGCAAACCAAATTTTAGTCCCAGAATCCTTCAAAGACAAGGCAAAAAAACCAAAACAAAACACAAAACACCAATTTCATAACTGATACTGTAAAAATATTACCAGATTAGAATTTTTTAAAAATTGTTATATTCTATTAAATAGCATTATCTAAAAGCTTCCTAAGATACTACAAAATTAAAGGGATGGGTTGATATTAAGATCATAAAGATTACGCTATTAATATATGCAAAAAGTCTTTGATAAAATATAGCATCCATTTGTAATTTTTTTTTAATTAAGAGAGATTATTTAAACAGGACAAAAAAGCATCTATTCGAAACCAGAAGTTAATGTTATATTAAACGAACAGAGGTATTTCTATTAAAATGGAGGAAGCTAAGTGGCACAGCGGATAGAATACAGAACTAAAGAATATGAAACTGTTAATCAAAGACCAAATATGGCTAGCTGTGTGACACTAGCACTACCTGCCCAAGTTTCCTCATATGAAAAATGAAGATAGTAATAGTACCTACCACCCTCAGTGTTGGGGTGAGGATAAAATGAGATAAAACGTGCAAAAAAGGGTTTTTTAGAAACCTTAAAGCACTACAGAAATTTTAACTGTTATTATTATTATTAAAATTCAGGTACAGAATACTCTTTAACATAGCCAACTTCATTTGACATTTTATTACTGCTATTATAATGAAAAATCTAACTCATAACAAAAACTGACTATTGAAAGATTAAAAATGAATCACCAGTATTTTTAAAAATAGTTAAAATTTCTAGAAAGAGATTACATATTTGCAATAAGAAACTATAAAATATTGAGCACTACTCTAACAAAGGCACACATGAAGTTTTAAAATCAACTTTTAAGCATAAAAAGGTAAACATGAAAGTATAATCATAAAGGTCACAATTAAGTTAAACTGTTTATATTCCTATGTGGGAAGATGATACATGTAATTCCAAAAAGCAATCATTATTAGGGCCGTTAAAAGAAGTTTACATAGAAAGAAGGTATAGATATGAGTCAATTCTGTTGGAATGAGTTCCAAAAAAAAAAAAGGGGGTGGGGTGGGCTGAGAATCTCATAAATCTAACAATCTTCAACACAAATATAGCGCTGATACCTAAACCAGGGAGAGCAAGAACAGAGAAAGAAAACTAGAGACCAATTTCCCTAATGAAGCAAAAATATTAGCTAAAATACTACCAAGGAGATTACAGCAATATATCACAAAGATCATATACTATAACCAAGCTCGATTTATACCAGGAATGTAGGGCTAGTTCAGTATTAAGAAAATTATCAGCATAATTAACCATATCAGTAACAAAACCAACAAAAATCATATGATAATCAATAGATACAGAAAAGGCTTGTCAAAATACAACACTCATTCCTACTAAAAACACTAGAAAGCATAGGAATAAATGGAGCTTTCTCCTTAAAATGATAAGGAATATCTAAAACCATCAGTAAGCATTATCTGTCATAGGGATACACCAGAAGCCTTCCCAATAAGATAAGAGGAGAAGCAAAAGTCTCTACATTCACCACTACTATTCAATATTGTACTGGAAATGCTAGTTACAGCAATAAGAGAAGAAAAAGAAATTGAAGGAATTAGAATAGGCAATGAGGAAACAAAATTATCACTCTTTGAAGATGATATATAATGGTATACTTAGAGAATCTTAGAGAATAAACTAAAAGCTAGTTTAAATAATTAACTTAGCAAAGTTGCAGAATACAAAATAAACCTATACAAATCACCAGCATTTCTATATACTACCAACAAAGTTAAACAGCAAGAGATTGAGAAATTCCATTTAAAACAGCTGTAGACAACATAAAATACTTTGGAGTCTACTTGCCAAGACAAACCCAGGAACTATATATATGAACACAATTACAAAACATATTTCACACAAATAAAGCCAGTTTTTACAACTGGAAAAATATTGATTGCTCATGGGGTGGCTGAGACAACGTAATAAAAATGACAATGTTACCTAATTTACTTATTCAGTGCCACTACCAAAAAATTATTTTATTGAGCTAGAAAAAATAACATACATAATACATAGCAGTAAATGACCACAGTAAACTACTGTTTGATAAACACAAAGATCCAAACTTTGGGGACAGAACTCACTATCTGACAAAAATTGCTGAGAAAACTGGAAACCAGGTTGGCAGAAATTAGCTGTAAGATCAATATCTCACACTGCATACCAAGATGCAGTCAATATAAGCACATGACTTAGACATAAAAGAGAGATACCATAAGCAAATTAGGGTAATATGGAATATCCTTTCAGAGCTATGGAAAATTAGGAGTAGGTGGGTGAAATAAAATACAAAAACTTTAAAAAAATATATTTAAAAAGAAATCTAAACATCAACTTCTTACAAACTTTTTTTTTTTTGCTTAGGCAGTTGTGGTTAAGTGACTTGCCCAAGGTCACACAGCTAGTGTCAAGTCTGAGGCCAGATTTGAACTCAGGTCCTCCTGACTCCAAGGCGGTGCTCTATCCACTGCGCCACCTAGCTGCCCCCTACAAACTTCTTAAAAAATAGAAATAAGTAAACATTTGTAAAGATGACCTGTGTACGTGATTAGGATGATTCAAAAGGGTAAAAATTTCAAGGTTCCCAAATTAAGATGCAGATTTAAAAAAAGAGCAAATCAAAACAGATTATTTTGTAGAATTAGATAATATAACAATGTTATATGGAGAGAAAAAAAGTAAGAATATCAAAGGAAATATGTGGGAGAAAGCTGATGAACTGTGCCTCAACCCTGCCAGATTTCATAATATGTTACATAAAATTACCAACTATCTGCTTCCTTAACAGATAAATGATCAAAGGATACAAATTTTAAAATCTCAAAAGAAGATGTGAGCAACTGACCTTATGAAAGAATTAATGAGAGAAGAATATTAAAACAATTTTAAAGCTTCACCCTCATATATCCAGCAAAATGAAAATACTAAAACTATAAGCTCATGTTTTGATCACAACTCAAAAAATAAATTCTACAAAACTCTTAAGTTTTGGTAAAGACAGTATGTCAATGTTGGCAGGGTAATGGAAACTAAATTACATTAATATATCATGAGGAGTTATAAACTGGTAAAAGCATGCTAGAAAACATTTCTGAATTTTGCAAATGAAATGCCTAAAAATTCTATATTCTTTCACACATATCACACTGCTAGGCATATACTCCAAAGAGGTTACTGACAAAAACAAAGATTGTATATACAAAAAACAATTAAAGCAGCACTATTTTTGATATCAAAGGACTGAAAACAAAGTAGATCCCCAGCAAAACAAAATTGTGACATATGAATGTAAAGGAATAGTAATACGTTGTAAGAGAGTCTGAATATGAGGAATGTAAAGAATCATAAAAAGGCTCACAGGAAACAAAACAAAGTAAGCAGATTCAATAAAATATACGTAATGACTATAATACAAATAGAAAGAACAACTACAAAACAATCAAAACTAAAAATATGAAGAACAAGCTTGGTTCCAAAGAAAACATATACTAAGATACTTCCTTCTGCTCCTTTCAGGGGTTAGGAATGTGGACATTACAAACATCAGATTTTTTTTTTTAATATTGATCAGTTTTTCTTAATATTTTTCTATTCCTCTTTTTCTTCAAAGAAAGTCCTTCAAATCAAGGACAGCTTTCTGGGAGAGGAAGTGATACAAGGACAAATCTAGTTAAATGTAAAAACAAAAAAATTATTATTAGATATTAGATAAAAAAGTGCCAGTGGAACAATAAAATACCAGAAATAGAACCAAATATATTCAAGGGGTTAAGTGAAAGTACAAGACT